ATACTAAAAAGACAATTATTACTTCAGTAAAAAAATGATATTGTGGTTATATCACTAAACAGTGCCAGATATATGAGTGGACACAACATACTTCTTATTCATAACAAAAATAATTATGGGGAAAATCCTGCCAGTTTTTGACAATACATCCACAAGCATGGCAAATGGGAATGGTTGCACTTTGTGCATTTATTCACAATTATGGAGAATAGGACCTAAGTGTTAAGAAACTGTTCTGTAATTTAATGAGAGGAAGATGACAGCTTGTAATCTTTTTCACTAACATTTACTTAAGCTTCCTTTATCTGTAGAAGCTATACTGGAAATGCTAGATGATCAAATCCATTTTTTTTTCTGTGACTAGCAGCAGAAAAAGACCATCCTGATCACAGAAGGGGAACCTGCCACAGCCACAGGTGATGATTTAGAATTATTAATGGAAAGGATATTGGGAACAAGAAATGGCATCATGAACCAGTAAAAGTATATAGAATCATTAAATGTCCAAACTGCTTAAATTTCTAATTTCAATATTTTGCTTTCTTTGAAATTATCCCTTTATTTTACATCAAAGGTTTGTGCATCTTTATGCAGATTCTATGCAATGTCCAGTCAGTTAAATTGTAAATTCTAAAAAAGTAGAAAGTATACATTATTCACTTCCCATAGCATTAAAGCATTAAAGCATTAAAGGGTAGCTTGCCCAGGCACAATGTACTTTGTAATTCTAAAGGCTCTGTATTCATACTTTTTTGTTAAACTTTGACCTGCCAGTAAAAGATATGATTTTTTATATTTTTTCTTAACCTAAAAAGATTTCTTACTCAGTCTTATTAAAGAGGCAGTAGACAGTATTGGTGTACTTCTTATACTCTGCTAATTCTTCCTTGGCATAAGGGGTGATGAGCAATTCTTTGTCGACTTCATTAATGCCATATTGCGAGGCAAATTTATTGGCTCCTTCTCCTAATGAAAACATTTTATAAATTAGAGGAAAATACTTTCATTCAACACTTTATCTGAAAGTTCTAAAACTTTTACAAAAAGGTACTACTCTTAAAGATTATTTCAATGCCTTATACATTTGAATCATATCTACATGTGATGCAGTGATACAAAACATACTGGCAGACAAATCATGTTAGAAAACATTCCTACTTGCCTGCTAACATTACATGAGGAGTTTTCTCCATGATGAGGCGAGCAACTTTTACAGGGTTTGGAATGTTTCTTATTGCAGCCACTGCTCCTGCCTCCATGGTTGCACCATTCATGATAATGGCATCCATTTCCACCTGTTCGTCAAATGTGAGAACAGAGCCAGTTCCTAAAAAAGAATAAATATATAAATATAAATGTAAATATGTACACACACACACACAAACACACACACACACACACACACACACACACACACACACACACACACACACACACACACACACACCACACACACACACACACACACACACACACACACACACACACACACACACACACACCACATGCACACGCACACGCACACACATGATCTTGCACTCACCTGCATCAAAGACTGGGTTATCTTCAAGAGAAATTACCGCAGCTTCTGCTACATCAACAACTGAACCACCCTCCTGGAGGACCTAGTGATGACAAAAGAATTAGTGATAACTATTTTTACATTATCTAAAAAATAGTTTAAATTACACAATTTTTCATATTTTTCTGTTAAGGATGCCTGGGCCATCCTATCCAAAACTAAAGTGATATAGCTATCATCTCTAAAAATAGCCTATATCATCATCAATATGCTGTTGAGAAAAGGTTAGAAAAGCTGCAACTTAACAATTTTTGGTAAGTTTTACTCTTTATAATCAGTTTTCATTCCTCTAAAAAAAATTATCATAAACTTCTAACTTTCTTCATTCATCTCAAAGAAAAAGAAAAAAAATCTTTTATATAAAAAACTGATCATGCAAAAGAGGCCAAATCAGTATTGTAGTGTCTAAGAATTGCTGAATAATACAACAGACCAAAACAGGAACCACAACCTTTGTTGGTGTGTTCTTAGTAGTATGAGGACAAATATCAACCATGTGAACTGGTGATACTGTGTCTGGTTTCTTGCCATATCTTTGACATTTATAAACAGACTGAAAGTAAACAGTACCATGCAAACAAAGGACTACGGATGTAACAAACCCCCTAAAATCTCCTTTTATCTTTATACCAAATTTTTGCAACATCAGCTAATGAGGAACTGATTTTTTTTCTTTGTAAAAAAAGAAAAAAAAATCAAATTCATCTTCCACATCCATTGTTATGCATCCATCTTAATATCATCTAAAATTCTTTAATATATTATGTACACACATTACTCACAAAATAACAGAAATCTAAAAAAAAAAAGAAAAAAAAAAAAAAAAAAAAAAAAAAAAAATGTTATGTTGCTGTTAAAAACAACTGAGTCTTTTAAACTATCTGAGACCTTTACACATTGTGTAATGAGTCCATCTCAGTTTGATTAATATCATTACATGGATATTATTGCAAACCTAAAATAGTTTTTTTAATTTCAGTTTACAAATTACTTATGCAAAAGAAAAATGATTAAGCTGTAAAACCAATCTGATACTACAAAGCAAGGCTAATAATAAGAGTGACCACTGAAGTAATTACCAGAACTTCTGAATTCACTCCTTATGATCAGCAAAATATTTCCCAATAGAAAATCTATTTAATTTAAATCTGTGCAGCATATGAATAACACATACATCATTCAAGTAGATTATTAAAGTTTCATAAAGATGAATGTGTCTCACCTTATAGCCATGAAGAGCAGCAGTCTTGACCCCAGCAATACTTCTATCCCACAGTATTTCAGGTACAGCCCAAGCTCCCCCATGAACAATTACAACTGGTTCAACCATAATGATGATTTTGTTTTAGTACTAATTTCTGAGGAGTTCCTGCAAAATAAAGATTACATAATCAATAATCTAAAAAATTATGTATAATGCATGAATACAATACTGCATCTCATGGTAAATTATTGCAGCTTGTATTCATATCATTATGCTATCTCTTTACGAGACACGACAAAGTAAACCATAAGACTAAATAAATCATGTAAATCAAAGAACTTACATGGAGCTTGTTATTAAGCTAAAATCATGTAGTAGTCTATTGTTGGGATTGTCCAGAGATAAATTCATCTGAATTTAGGTGGCCTCTTGCATTTGCCTTTGTCTGTAATACATATGTCTTGGTATGTCTCAAGGGGGGATTTCAGGGTATGCAGTCCCCCTGATTATGGTGTTCAATGTATGGAAGGAAGTTTATGGAAGGAATTACTGTTGGGGCCACAGAAGCTTTTTGTTGAGGATATATAAATACCTTTCTTTATTTTACTACAATTAAAAAAAACAAGCTGAGTGTATTAAAAAAGAAGGTCACCATCAGCAATAATTTCTTCAATCTGGGAGTCAATGACTGCAGATGGCCTTCAGTTTTATAAAAGCTACTCAAGTTACCAGGTAGCTAATGCTAGAAACTAAAATTCATACTATTTAAAATGTACTAAATGTGTACTGTTGGAAGACCTCAACTCCTATTATAACAACTGTATATAAGTAACTAGTGTGAATTTCTGCAAATCTTTGACTGGAGTCACAATTTCCCCATGCCATTTACCCTTGCTGAAAAATTATCACTAGCCTACCAGTAGGTCAACACAGTGAAATCATTCTTAGTGCATGTAATGAGTGCCATCAAAAAAAGACCAAGCCTATTCCCAAGGATATACAGTTGTTTATCCTTTTTGCCTTAAAATGTTATACTCTGGTAAGGCTATAAGAATCAAAGTTCATGTTTTGCGTTCACCGCCCACTAATCCCAACAACACCCGCCAAAAAAATTCATCCTCCTTAATAAATTTCATTATACCCTCCAAAATATGATTTGATGACTTTGAAAACCTTTTCTCTTGTTATGCTTTTACTAGTAAATATGAATGAAAAATATCACGATTACCCACAAGAACTAAGATGATTTGATAACTTTGAAAAGTTGTTGTTCTCTTCTTTAAATGGTTGTACAAATAGATAATGAATAATGAAAAATAGCCTCATCAGTTTTCACTTTTGCCCGGATGCAAAACAGGAACCTTCATTCTTGTGGCCTAATGTTTGGTACTCCAAAATGTGGCATCTATCTCCAACAAAGTGTTCAGGTAATTTATGGAATAGAAATCACTTCACAACTGGCAAACAAAAGCATATATGAAAGTGATTATCAATTAATTCTGTGACATTTCTATTGCAAAATAGAAATGTCATTACATTAAGAAATTAAAATCCAGTCTTGCTGCTGGATATTTGGCCTTCACTGGTGTGCAAACTATTCCTATTACCTACACGTCCAGTCAAACTAAAGCACTTATTCATTTTGCAATGAAACTATGCATTGTACAATGCAACTATAATAAGGCAAACATCCACAAATACCCCATTCTTCTTACTATATCTTTTAGCACCTCTCGCCTCCTACAACACAGAGACAAATGAGGCACTCATAAGTTCAGACTACATCATTTAGTGATCTCTGATAAACATGCTCACCTTGAGGATTGGGTTGAAAAAAAATTCTAGCACTGCTTCTGAAGATTATCTATCTCTGCTTGGGTTTGCTGTATCTTCCTCTGCAATCTCTCTCTCCTTCTTCTCAGCCACTCGATCTTAAACGACTTGAACTTGTAACCGAAAAAGAAGCCTAAGGACAGTGCCAATCCTAAAAGAGCTGCTAAGGACTTTTTCGAAAGAGTGACGTCTTGGTGAGCCATGGTTTCGTCTACTCAAGGTCGCCGAGGAGCAGGATACATTGGACACTTTTTAACCTTGCCGGGGAGGACGTCTGCTTCTCATTCGTAAACAATAATCAGCTGTTCAAGAGGTTTCGTTCACATAAACACATGCACGGATACATGAATCCGGTGTGGTAGCAAATAGAATGGGATCGCT